CTACCCCTCCCAAAAGTGGGCAAGTAGCTTAAGCTGTTTTCTACAAAGAGTTCACGAATTGGGGTGGTAATAACAAAAGCACAAACAAGACAATAGCTGAGCTTACGCTTCTGTCAGTACATAGCTGGAGCTTCCCATCAGTCACAAGAAGCACAGACCAAGAAGATCTGATCCAACCTGACAAGCTGCTCCCCGCAACACTTTCAAAATTATTGAAAAGGTTAATTTGAAGCAGAGTTATATTCACTAAAGATAATTCCAATCTTTATTGGAATATATCCCAATGAATATAATTCATTATATTCCAATGAATATAATTTTGAAATATGTCTTCAAATCTTCTAGGAACGTAAGCCATGACAGTATGAATCTGGCAATTGGCGTCTGTCTCCACATGCAAACACAGGGAAACATAACTTTTGACTTTTGTGAAGTTAAAGGGGAGTCAGGAACAGGAGCGTAAAGATACAGAGAAGGGGAGAGTCTCAAAAGATAGGGAAGAAGAGACCGAGTCCCCGCTTCTGCAGTTTCTCCCAGACTACTTTGTCCTTGTGGTACCTAGGAGACCGGGGTCAACTAGCCCCAGGGTCCTGGGACTGTCATGTATGACAGCGGATAATCCTCTGCCTGGTTTCTGGTTCCTTTTCACATTTGCACAATGAATGTGGCAGGTCATTACATGTATAGTTTTAGCAGGCTCCCATGTGCATGGTCTAAAGCAGTGGTGGCGAACTTACAGCACACGTGCTGCAGTGGGCATTCAGAGCCCTCTCTGTCGGCACGCAAGCCAAGCAGCCCCAGCACACAAGCATCAGATAGTGAAGCTTAATTGCAGTGTTGGCATTTTGCAATAAACAAGTGGGTTTCGAGTTGCAGTTTGGTCGCCATCACTGGTGTAAGGGGAACTGTCAAACAGTCACTGTGGACTCGCACACTGGGTACGGGTATGGGAGTTTCACAGTTCCAAGGCTGCCTACAGTGCTAAGGTAACAGAATTCACTAGTGATGCCAGCAAAGTCACGAGCACTTTCATTAAACATTCATTTGGGGAAATGGAAAGGCCACCTGCTGTGCACCAAGTATAGTACTAGGTAATACACGATTTCTGCCATAATTCATTTGCCAGATATTTAGTGTGTGCCAGGGTCTGCTCTAGACATGGAATATGACCCCGAGCACAACAGCAAGACCCTCGGTTTTCTAGGAGCTTATATTCTCTTCCCCATTCTCAGAACATAGTCAAATGCAGCCTAGTCCTCAGGCCTTGGAATGCAAAATACACAGACACCCAGAGAGAGCAATCAGACAGTCACGATCGCACCCCCCGAGCACAGCAAAGAGAACACCGCTTCACCTCGAGCCCCGAGCCCTGGACTTGCAGCCATCCTACCATGGCTCTGCGTCACAGGGAAATTAGAAGGGTTCGACTAGATCAAGGGTTTTCAAATCATTCCAACGTCATGGCCCGTCTTGAAAATGTTATTAAAACTAATGTCTCTAAAAGAAATGCATGTACAATCTCGGTTTTGTACATAATCAGACATTCATAGACATCCTGAAGCTTATCCCACGTGTCAGTTGAGGAATCTCTGAACTAGGTAAGGCACCGGAAGTCCTCCCAGCTCTGTCCCATTTCAACTCCTCTGGGCCACCCTGGATTCCAGTCCACAAATGGCTCAAGATACTAATATAACATTTTTTTCTTACTGTTTTAATACATAGGGGGAAAGGAGAGGGGAGAGGGAAAAAAGAGGAAATGGGAAGAAGAGGAGAGAGAGAAAGAGACTTCAACGTGGGGAGCAAGATATTACGGAAATTATGTAAGGGACACATGGCCACATCGGTGGTGATTTTCACATTTCCCCGAAATTCTCTGCGACTTCACCATCAGGAAGTGGGGGTGGCGGGGGCCTAGGTGCCTCCTCTTGACTCCAAGTTCTTTGACGGTGTCACTAATAAAATACTGCTCCTGTGGTGCATACCAGTTCATTAGAAACTAATAGCTTCCTCTTTCCTGTCTCTTGAGAGGATTTTTTTTAGAAACCAGCCACCATGCTGTACAGAGGCCCAGGCCCCAGGTAGCTGTCCCTGCTGAAAGTCAGCATCCACTGCCAGGCCTGTGAGAGAAGCCACACAGAGAGCTAAGAGTCTCAGCTACTGCTGGGGATTTAGCTCAGCGGCAAAGCGCCTGCCTGGAAAGCGCAAGGTTGTGAGTTTGGTTCCCGGTACCGGAGAAAAACAAACAAAACAAGAGTCTCAGCTACTGAGGCACCCCCTTGTCAGGAGTCTTTCCAGCTGAGGCCTTGGTGGGACAGAAGCAAACCAACCTGGCACCAGCCTGTCTAAATTCCTCAGGCACACAGTTCATTGGCCTGGACTGTTTCATACCACTGTGTTTTGAAGTGGTTTGTTATATCACGATAGATAGATACATCTTTAAGCTATGAGGGATCGCATGCTATTTCTTACATGGAAATAGGAATCAATTTTTTTTTAAAGAACGTACTGTTGAAGTTACAGTGGAAATTAATTCAAGAGAAAATCAAGATTTAGAAAATCATACTTAGCCTGGCAAGCCAGAGCATACTTGCAATCCCAGCACTCAGGAGGCTGAGGCAGGAGGATCACTGTAAGCCCCTGGACTGTAAGACCAGCCTGGACTACATAAGCAAGTTCAAGACCAGCTTGGGCTACAAAGTGAGACCCTACCTCAGAAAAAGAAAAAAAGAACATCATACTTAAACTCTGATGAAGGTCACTATCCTGGCCTACTTATCAAATAAAACAGAAGAGGGGGAGATATCGAGACCTGACAGATAACTTGTCATTTCGCATGACACTAACAGAAGTAAGGTTAAGATTCCAAGTTCACAAGTCCATTCATGACACAAGTGCTAGGCCCTGTTCTAAATGCGAGGCACACAGCAGTCAACACAGATAAAAATTACGGCCCTCACAGTACTTACACTCAGTGGAGGGAAAAAGACCATCCACAGGACTCATTTGTTTGCTTAACGACATAAAAGGTTGAGGAGAAATACAAAGGTGGTGAAAGGCCAGGGAGTATTTCTGGTAGGAGTGATGATGGGAAGGACTTGCAATTTTAAACACAGGGGGTCCCAAAAAGACACAATGAGATGACATTTGTCAAGACTTGCAAGAGGGGGGAAGAGTAAACCATGTGGATACACAAGAAAAGAGCACCGTAGACAGCAAACAGTACATACAAAGGCCCTGAGGCTAGTGGGGCTGGAGTTCACTGAACAAACAAGAACAATAACAAACACTGATGTTAGAAAGGAAAGCTGGGAGCCAGATTGTAGATGTAAATTCTCACCAATAAAATAAAAGTGTCAGAACTAAACTTGGACTCAAGAGAACTGAATTCAACAAGAGCAGAATGGTGGCTAACTTCCCAGCAGACATTCCAAACATCCGCGTCCAGTGAATGAATGAATGGTTGAAGTCTTGGCTAGGCCACTTGGCTGCCTTTTGACTTGAGGCAAGTGAGTGCGATTTTCTGAGCCTCAGTTCTCTCCAAAATCACAGTAAGTCATCTTTCCCCACCTTACAGGATCATGGTATAGATCAAGAATGAGCAAGTGTATTCCGGACTGCAAAGCCCCTTGTACAGGTAAGGTCTTCACATTGTGACTGAAAAAAACTGACAATAGCAATAGTATTAACAGCAGAATCAATCTACTTTGCCCTACTAATTTCAACCTCCAAATCGACTTTGCCCTTGCTATGTGATGGAACTGGGGCAGGGCCATCTGCCCTTTGACATGAGCAAGTGCTTGAGGGCTTCTACGAATGTGTGGCAGTAATTAAGACACGATCCTTACTCCTACCAACTTTTCTTTGAGGTTGAGGAAAGGCATGAGACAGTTTCCATGTGATGATTCTACGCCCTTTTGCAAAATCCAAGCGGCCTGCAAAGCGTTTTCTGTTTTCAAAATGTGAGAACCCCCAGCCGGAACACAATGACATTTCCCTGCACACACGCTTTCTTCACTGAAGCCTGTACCACACGGTTGAAAGGGAAAGAGGAAGTATAAAATACGCTCTCAGGATTGGGTAGAATATTTTTACAGAGTCCACCTCATCCTATCACCTCAAATTATCTGAAAATCTACCACCAAAATCACTCTTATTGGAGACAGCCTTAGTGTTCTCATCTGTAAGTGAATCTTCCTAAGGCTATTTCAATTCTGTAATAAAATAAGGCATATAAAAGCATATGATCAGCACTCACTAAAACTGGCTGGATCTGGAAATCCTTCATTTATTCAACAAACACTAACGGAGCACCTACCAACATGCCAGCCAGTATCTATCTGCAGGGACAGGGTCAGAAGGAAAACAGGTAAAATTCAGTTCTCTTGCAGCTAACATTGCCTCCTGTAACTATCTGCACGGGTCCCCTCTGTTCGCTGGAACTACACCTGGCTTTGGTAACCGGAACCTCCTTCCCAGAACTAAATCATCTGGGATTCTGCAGATAGTCATCACACACCTCCCAGCCTCCAGCCTCCACAAACAGCCTTAATTCTTTCAAGTAAGCAAGGGTACAGGAACAAGAGCCACACCAGGGCTGGGTGGGGAGAAGGCAGGCGGCTGCCAAGGCGCCCCGGCTGGAAAATCAAGAGAACCGCTGACTCCAGGCCGAGGTCCAGTCGGGCTGGTCGCACTCAGGTGTGTCACCTGACACCTCTCCCGGAATGGACACCTCCCGTCCCAGGCGCCACAGCGGTCCCTGCCGGGCGCGGGCTACCGATCGCGGGCGCCTCGGCCCAAGGATGGAGGCGGGGGCCCTCGCCGTGTGTCCTCGCCTCTTCTTCCCGAGGGCCTCAGAGAGAATCCCCGGGGCCATTCCCGGTGCTTCCAAGATCCCACCTTCCCGCCAGGCCTCGCCGTCCTCGGGGGTCCTGGGCGCAACTGCTTCCCACCCGCGCCCTCGCCACAGCCGTAACCGACAGTCCCCGGCCAGCTGCACTCACCTGCGAGCCCAGCCCCGGCCCCTCCATCGCCCCGGGCACCCTCAGCGGCCGCTGCTCGTTGGAAAGTGGCGGCCGCAGCGTGCTGGCCACCCGCCGGGCCGGGACTCCACTTCCTGCTCGCGCCTCCGCCTCCGCTCCCGCGCCCGAATCGCGCTCTGTGCCGTCAATCGGCTCACAGAGCCAATCCCTGTCCTTATTCGGCTGGGGGCGGGATTGCTTGCGAAGGGATAGCCAATAGCGAACCACCAGCCGAAGGCCCCGCCCCAGGCCAGCCCTGGCGATCAGATCTTCAGCCCCGGACTGCGACCCTCCTCCAGGGGTCCACCTACTTGAGGTGTCCCTGCGGGTACCTCATGAGCTGTCACTCCAACGTCAGTCACCATCCAAGCAGCGCGAACCCGGACTGGGCTACCTAACAGCTAGTCGTCTTTGTGAAAGTCTTACTCTACCTCAGTCTCCTCATCTGTGAAATGATCTCATCACATACTTCATCCAATTGTCCGGAGGAGTAAAGGAGAAAAAGCATGAAAAGGCGTCTCCTCACCCAGTGCTTAGCATATGTGAAGGAATCACCTGATACAGATGCAGTGGGCGTTAGCCTTTACAAATACTTTCTACTCTCCATTTGTGTGATCTTGGGCGAGTCGTTTCTACCACCTGGGACTCTTCACAGAAAACAGCATGTACGGTATGTGTGTTCCACAGCACAGGCTACAGAGGAATTGGTCAAGGGTCCCCCTCCCGCTTGGTGTACCACACTGGAAGAGCTGGCGTTCAAGCCCAGTCCACCCTGAAGGTCTGGGAAGCAAAAAGAAGCGTTGGTTCAGTGGAGTTGTCACATCTCAACACCCAAAAAACTCTGAAGCTTTCTAGGCCCACATTACACACATTTCTTTGTAGTTGTTCCGTAATGTGTCTGTTGCCAAACCAAATGAGATGAGAGGCCTTTAGAAGGTAATTTGAAAAAACGATCTGAAAATATCCTGAACCTTTATCCCATAAAAATAATACTAAACCAGGAAGAAAAAGTACATAGAAATCCAACAAAAAGCTGGGCTTTCCCATGAAAAATACTATTAAGATGCAATGAAATTATAAATGTATTATTATTTGAGCTCTGCGTGTGGAGCACACCAGCCTAGGTTATCCCACAAACCCAAACCCACGGAGGATAAGAACCATACCCGTCTCTTATCTTACCCCTGCCTGGCACAGACTGAGACGTGGAAAATACCATGAGTGAATTGAATGGATGGGCGGATGTGTCACTATCTTTTGTAACATAAAGAAAGACAAATTGAGTGACAAATAGAAATGTAATCAGTTTCCTTCCAGAACAGAAAGAAAAAAGCAATTAATCCAGACAGGGCAGGATGAAAGATTGTGCAGGGTTTCCCAGAGGAGAGAACCTTTGGGTGTGGTCATTTCGTTTACCTAATCAGAGCTCTGCTTATTGGTCACTTACTATGTGTTAGCGCCTTACTAGTGTTTTGCGTGCACTATGCCTAATCCATGAGATAGGTATTATTTCCTCTGTCCCCTCTGGAAAAACAAACAGGTTCAGACAGATTCCACAAACCCCAAGTCACTCAGCTAGTAACTGCTGGAGAGAGGATTCAAACCTGTCTCTCTTGCTATGATGTACTTCGGCTGAAGTAGTTTGCTTCCTGTATTTAGAAGAATTTACTTAGATGGTGTTACTAAACTTGAAGGAAGCTTGATGTACACTATTTCAACGCTTTTAAAAAGTGTTGAAAGATCTTAACATGTAGGAAGATTCTGGAATAAATAAATCCTAACACCTCAACCCTTAGCCAGGCTCCAATTTTCCTCTGCTCATTGTCTTGTTCCTCCAGTGAGCTGAAATTGGGGTAAGCATATCCGTACCTAATGACCATATGGAAGCAAATCTAGCGATGCTTCTCAGTACTCCAGTACCTCTCATCTTGAAAATGCTTCTGGCTCACAGACACACCCAGTAGAATACCAGGATGAAAGGAGCGAACTCCCAAAGCTGACCTCCTGGAGCTGGAATCCCAGCTCCAGCACTTAGTAGCTCTGTGCTCTTGGGAGAGTTGCTAAATCTCCTTGTGCTTCAGTTTCCCCGTCTGTAAAAATGGCACAGTAACAGTACTTACTTCACTGAGCTGTTGAGATAATTAAGTGAGCTAATGTGTGGAAAGTACTTAGAGGACAGTCTGGTACATTCTAGGTGCTGTATACAGATTAGCTACAGTCACTGTCCTTGTCGTCCTCCTCAGCAATGGGCATCAGGGAGAGAGCTGAAGACTGGACGGGTGCTGGTATGAAAAGGGCCAAGGATAGGCTTTCGGCAGACCTGGCCTCTAGTCCAGCTTTGACTGCCAGCAGTTTCTGTGTGTGCCGTTTCCTGGTAGCACAGACTCGGTGGCCAAACAGTAGAAAGTTATTGTCTCATAGTTGTGAAGGCTGGAACTGTGAGATCAAGGTGTTGGCTGGATTGGTTTCTTCTGAGACCTCTGTCCTTTTCTTGGGGATGGCTGTCTCCTCCCTGTGTTCTCACATGGCCTCCTGCTTTGCATGTGTCTTCTTATAAGGACAACAGTTAATATGGATGTGAGCCCACCCTGGCCTTAATTAAAATATCGTTATATTTTTAAGGACTCCTACTTCACATATACTCAAAGTCTGAAGTGCTGGGGGTTAGGATTTAAATATTATTTCAGACTGGGGGGAAGTTTGTCCCATAATGCTGACTCTGGGCAAATCATTCCTCCTTTCTATGAGTTATTCATTTTCAAAATAGAGGTGAAAGTGAAAGTTGAAAGCACTAAATTCTAAGGTCCCTCCCAGCTTTGGTTATGTGATTTTCCTAGCTAAAAATAAGCTCTACTTCTCTGTACTCCCAGTATTTTTTAAAATTTCCTTTAGGTGACACTGTCCTCATTCTATAAATGTGCAAGAAGTGCCTGCTGTGTATCAAGAATTGTTCAGCCTTGAGGATTCCACACTGGACAATACAGAGGGGCTGGTTCCCTGGCTTCCTGGGGCTTCCTGGTCTAGAAGTAACAGGCTGATTTTAATCAAGCAGGCTCACCAGCTTGAACTTTGTGGTATTGGGTTGATCCTCTTTCCTCCCCTTGGCCATCCATCTTTTTGCACACTCAGGACTGGTACACATCCATTGTTTATCTCCATGATGCTACCTACAACGTCTAGCATGTGGTGAAAACTAAAATGTTGTCCAAACGAACGAACAAATAAATGACTACAACTGAAAGATGGGCTATACAATCATGTCAAAGGTAGCTCTCCTCCATAAATCACTCTACTGATTCCACCGTGTTTAATGGTTCTTGGATTTAAAAATTTCATACCAGGGTTGGTTAATCCTCACTGTCACAATGTGGGTGACAAATGATTTTATTCTGATTGAATTTTTTACTCTGGCCTCATTTCTTTACAGCCCTGGAAAGGAAAGGGGCATTTTTGGGACCATGGGCTTGTGACTAGAATCGTTTCAATGGTGGTACCAAACTGGTCCTTCGGAATGTCAAAAAAAAAAAAAAAAAAATCCACACATCTATCTTTAGAAAGCTTCTCACAAACACCAGTTAGGAAATGCCAATCCTCTCCAGTACCGGGCAGAAGGGCTGGGTGGGCATGAACACCGGCAATAAATGTCTGCTGGGCTCTGACCTGTGCCAGTTACAGGTTAACACAGAGGGCGAGAGTGCCACGTGGACAGAACGGCCTCTGCTGTCTTGAAGTTCAGTTTGAAGGAAGCAATTCTGATGGTGACAGATAAGAAAATAAAAACAAGTAGATAATGCTAAGCACGTGTCTTAGTGACTTTCTCCTTGCTGGGACTCAGTAGCCAATACCTACAACTTCAAGGAGGAGAGATTTCTTTGGTTCTCATGGTTACAGTCCATGGTTGGCTGGCTCCTGGGCGGAAATGGCTGGCACAGGGGCAGAGTGCGGGAAAGCTGCTCCCATCATGGTGAAGGGAGCAGAGGAGGAGGGAACTAACCCTTTCTGGGTCACGCCCAGAGTGACCTGCTTCTCCTGGCAAGCCCCACCTCCAGCAGCACACTTAGCTGCTGAACCCACTACTGGATGGATATTTCGCTAATGAGTACCGTTCCCGTTGATTCAATCACCTTCCACAAACTCCACCCATGCACGCATGAGGCTTGGCAGGACTTGCAGAATCAAAACTGTAACAGTGCTGAAAGGAAAAGTGGCAAGAATGTAGTACAAGGAATGGGGTTGGCTTGGGAGATACTGTAGGGAGGAGAGTTCTTCAGAAAGTCATAAAAGTAGCACAAGAAGACTTTCCTAATTTCTTCTATTCATAAATGGTTAAACCAGGGCTTGGGGAGAGAAAATGGACTGCTCATAGCACCGTAAGGAGGGAGTGATGAAGGCAGGTTTAGGGCAACTCTTCTGACCCCTCAGTGCTTAGCTTGTCAGCTTTGGGGCAGCCCCCACTTTCTAACTAACAGACCCTAAGGGCTGAGGTATTTGGAGACAGGACAGAAGTGTTGCTTAGTCTCTTGTCTTATACTTGAACAAGCTTCAACTCATGAAAATTTAAAAACCATTTTATATATAAATCACCAATATGTAGTCATAGAATATGAGATCTTCTAAGACAAATCATTCATAAGGACTAGTGTATATTTTATATTTCACTTGCCAGATTAACAGATTCGTGAGAGAGAAAGAACAGGAAGTATTTCTAGTTCTTTATTTTTACTAGTTATAGTTTTGAATATCAGTTCCCTTGTGTTTAAACACCCGCTCTTCTGGGAAAATTTTCTGGACTTGTCCAAATTGTGACAGTTACACGCAGGATTAGTCAATAAATTTGCCTGGACTCTGATATCGATGTACAAGACTCCCTTTTCAACCTTGTAAACAAGCTAGCATAGCTGGGCTTTTGTTGGCTACATACCATCGCTTCCAGTCTCTATGTTCCTAGAAAACACTTAAATATCCTTTCATTGGAAGATCTGCTTGGACTGCTAGACCAGGTTAGGCTGCCTTGTTAAGAGCCCCTTAAGCACCCTCTAATGCTGCTGGCACAGTCCACACGGAACATTCTTGCTTAATTACATTCACCTTCTCCACACAGCATAAGCAG